CATAAATGATTACGTAATATCATGCAAAAAATATCAAGGCAAAAAAAATTCACATGATCATATAAATGCCGGATAACATATAATTAAGGGCTTTGACCAATATTGTAATTTCAACTGGAGTTAACGTGGTAATACTACCGAAATATTTCCAGAAAATGTATGGCATGACCTTAAATTACGAACCATGGCATAACTTCAAATTACGAACTATTGTTCCAAGGACCGGAGTCAGGAACAGTGATTTTATGTGTTTCGCATAACACCACAGAATTCATATAAATATACCTATATCACATAATATGATAGTAATTTACAAGAATTGGCACATAATTTGGCAATTTTATTGAGCCAACGAATAAAGTCGGATCCGGTATCTTCCGATGTAGAATTTGAACGAATTCAATTTACGAGCAAGGTTATGAAAATTTTTTGAAACGAAGTTCGAAACAGAATCGCACCAAATATGCCACAGAATTGCGCATAATTTGGCAAATATGTTTCACATCACATCATAATTTTGATTTTGCTATCACATAAAATCACTGTCCCTGACCGGAGTATATACAGTAATGTATTGTTTCTGCAATTTGTTGATCCACTGCATAAAAATTTTAATTTAATAACAGGAGTTATTTTTGCTATTCGCCCAAAACAGGAGTTATTTTTGCCATTAGCCCAAAAGGCATAAAAATTTAATAACATGAGTTATTTTTGCTATTCGCCAAAAAAGACATGACCACCTGACCAAATTCAAAAATTGTGACGAAATAAGTTCTAAAACTTCGATAGACAACCACTTGACCAAATTCAATGAATTTTATTTATTCGAATTCTACAGATCTGTAGAAATTAAATAATAAAATTTTTTTTATTGAATTTGATCAAGTGGTCGTCAAGATATTTTCAACCGAAAGTTAAAAAAAAGTTTTGTAAACAAAAAAGTGTTAAATAACTAAATTTAAATTCTACATCAAATTAAATTTAATAACAATAACGATATCTGATTGTACACCAATAAAAAATGTTGGTAAAAATTTTGCCTCATTACTGATTTAACCTTATGGTCGACTTTGTTAACACCTCAATATTTAAAGTATTTAATAACTTTAGAGTAGAGCCCTGCACGGGCCTAAAAATTTGTATTGTTACCGGCCCACACGGCCCTCAAAATAAAATTTACTATATTTTTTAAAAGTTCAGCCCGTAATTTACTATGTTTTGGAGACATCAGGCCTGCAATTTTGAGATGTTTTAAAATTTTCAATTTCGGCCCGGCCCGTGCAGGCCTCTATTTAGAGTACTTATAATAAATTATATTAATATATATATATATATTAATATACTATTATATATTGGAGTATATATTAGACTAATTAAATTTCGATTTGGGGCTATATAATAGAATTTTAAAATCTGGGGTCAGATCAAAATCTGTTCTGTTCCGCTTTATCATTCAGTATTTGAATATTCGCGTAAATACCCCTTGCAGATTTTTATCATTCGTAATTTCTCGTACACACACATTAAATAACTCTCAGTGGCAACTACCGGTAATTGATCTAAACAAGCAATTAAATTGTATTACAATTTGTAATGTTTTTCTCAATATATCAATTTCCTTCTTTCTTTTTTTGATGGCGTAATGCTTAGGCTAGAAATATCGATTATTTAGATCAATAATAAACTTAACCAATGAAAAGTAATGCACATGGAATTTCATGTTATGAACTTTTTTTTTTTGATAATGCGGAAAACTTAAATTAGAAGGTAAACAGTGTGTATCCGTTGAAGTTAGTAGGTTTAATTAGCCCCCAAGATAGTGTTGTTAGGCGAAACCTAGCTTCGGCTTTCGCCAAAAAAAATTAACGCGAAATTTTTTTATTATAAATTTTGCAAAATGACGAAATGGCGAAACTGGTGAAACTAATAAAAGATGACGAAACTGTAAAAGATGGTAAATCTAGTAAAAGATGCAAGAATAGAAAGTAACTAAAGAACTTTGAATAACTTTTATATAATTATCAATCTTGTTTCTACATATATATTTGATATGCATTATTTATGCTATCAATTTACCAACCTCACAGTCAATTTACCAACCACTTTATTTTACTAACAATTATTTTACTAATAACTTATTTTATCGGTTTTGCATACCAATTTGGAACACCTGAGCAATCAAATTTGAACATCTGAGCAATCAAATTTAGACACCTGAGCAATCAAATTTGAACATAGTATCAATCAAATTTGAACATAGTTGCAATCAAATTTAAACAAAGTAGCAATCAAATTCGTACATCTTAACAATCAAATTTGAACAGCAATATTTCATTAACTAGTAATCAAAATTATATAATTTTAGTATCATTTGACTCGTCTAGTCCTGATGAGTTGAATGGTACCAAAATCATATGATTCTAATCACTAGTTAATGAGATATTGCTGTTCAAATTTGATTGTTAAGATGTACGAATTTGATTGCTACTTTGTCTGAATTTGATTGCAACTATATTCAAATTTGATTGCAACTATGTTCAAATTTGATTGCTTAGATGTCTAAATTTGATTGCTCAGATGTTCAAATTTGATTGCTCAGATGTTCAAATTTGATTGCTCAAGTGTTCCAAATTGGTATGCAAAACCGATATTAACAGGCTTTTTTAAAAAATATACTAACCATAATTTTAATTCTAAACCTGACCGAAAAGCATAGGTACGACTGGTCATATATGGATGTATGCCGGCTAGCCAAAGGTGCCGGAAATAAATTCAATTAAAGGACCTGAAGTCCGCAGAATACATTGTGAGTAATTTTAGCTAAGTAATTCGAACTGAAACGATGATATGCTCCAAGAAAATTAGCAAGTGAGATTGCGCTAGGTATCATCGTAACAGTAGGACGAGCGAGAAGTAGCATCAGCCGGTGGTTTCCCGCCTGCTCGAAGCAGGCCGGCTGTTAAATAGGAAAATGGCAGAATCAGGAGACTATCATGTGTGGCGGGAAGGGTTGGGTCGAGAAACTTGTTTGTCTAAGACTAATGTGTTGAAGGGGAAAAGGGGTGTCGAAAATGACTTTCGTCGTTCTTTATATATCGGTTACGATGGGTGGCTTTTCGATTACGTGCCCTTGCTTATTAATTCATGCGATTTTGTCGTTGATTGATCTCTTCTCTGATCTCGACCCATGCCCTTGTTATGATCGATCGGGGTCGTAGCACGTGCCGTGTAACCCCTGACCAGTACTACCCTTTCTTTTCGATCTGTTGACCCTTGTCAACTTGCAGTATAAGCATTCCTACAGACGTTAAAAAGTGGAATCAGGAACACGTTACTAGTTTTTTGAAATCCAAGATGGATATTGATGAAAAATACATTCAAAAAGTCCAAGAGCAAGAGATCAATGGTCCAGCCCTTCTTCTCTTAACAGAAGAAAAGCTTACTCGTAAACCGGGACCATTTGAATTTCCTTATGGACCTGCAATTGTTATTACAAAATTGATTTATGCGCTTAAAGGAGAGGAAAAAATTTGGCAAATTGTGCACTGCCCAATAAAACCCGGTATGGACATATAATAATAACATATGAGTCCATTATGTACAATATTGCTTGTTATTATACTTTAATAAAGGCATTATTGAAGACGCAATTGAATCTGTCAGACAAATCGAAGCTTTTCTTAAAATCTTGAGATAGGTACCCATTAATTCATAAGGGCATGAGTGATCCAGCTTCATTAGAATGAGATTATATAAACTTGCTATTACAGGAGCTTCTGATAAAAAAGAAATCAAATCTACTTTAAAATGGACTATCGAAGAAAGATTTATATTATTAGAAGCCGTACTTGAACATCTACCTAATACTTTACCTTGGTCTGAAATTGGTAAGAAATTTGAAGGAAGATTTCCTCGTAGGACGAATAATGGTTTCCGTAATCAATGGTCGCGTAGAAAGGAAAAGGGGCTGGTTGCTTTGTTATTGAAAAATCAAGATTAATAATAAGTTTAATAATTGTGAATTTGTAACATCCTTGTTTTATGATGCGCATATTAGTATTTTATTATGAAAAACTAGTGTTACTGTAGTAGTCGAGGCCTGAACTATCGACTAAGTTTATGTTAAAAAATCGGCTTAGTCGAATAAGGAATAAAGCATCGATCTTTGATCAAGAAAATTCAAGATGCAAATGTTGTAAATACAGTATGGGACAGTAAAAGACATCCAATCTATACATATAGGCGCCAATTTTTAGTGCTTATATAATCAATTTTGATTGACTAATTTTTTGGGTAATTGATTCTGATTGGTTAAAAATATATATATGTTTTCTTTTTTTCTAAATTAAATGCCAATTTTTTAAACTTATATAAACTTTAATCTTTATAACTTTTCAAAACAAAGAATAAAAAAAAAATCCTCTAGCAGAAATATAGTTTATCTAAAAATCTATCATTTTTTTTAAAGAATTTTTTGATTTAGCTTGTTTTATTTTTTTTTTAATTTGGCTGTCCTGTCACTTTTTATTGAGATTAAATTATATTAAGAAATTTACACTCCCTAATAATAGCTATACTTAATCCACCTGTAAAGTGATATATCTACATTTTCACCAGGTATGACTTGCCTCAGTGGACTTCAAGCCTCCTAACTTATTAGAGGTTATCCTTTGGTCATGGGCTGGTGCCACACACTGTATCCAAATTAACTTTTCTTTTACAAAATGAAATACAAATACAAATACAAAGGGCATAACAAAACTGGGAAAATATTATGGCGTCGAGTTTTGGTCAATAAAACCAAATAATACAAATAACAAAAAAAAAAAAAACAAAGAAAAGAAAACAAAGATAGCACTATTAAACCTGTGCAAGATTGTAAAAATTATATAGCTACAAATAACCTAGACTAAACTCTACACTAGTTATTTATGTCTATATCCAGGATGTAAAAATATCAAAAATCATCTAGTCTTGAAGTAGAGTTCCAAGATCGAAACTTCTAGATGCTATCCCATCTTGTTGATACATCTTCTGCAATGTTTCAAACATTATCACATTATCTTACACTATAACCAAAAGTAGATATGTATATATATACGTGTTTTTCCTTTTTTAGCAGCAATTGTTGTTGTTGATCTTTTGACAGAGATACGCTGTTTTTTCTATTTTTTGAAGAAATTTTGTAAAGACCAAGAGTGGGAATATGGAAGAGAGTTTCGGTTTGCAGGTAATCTTAAACTTCGGTAAAGAACGTGTTGAAAACTCGCTTGTTGTTTTCCTTAGACCAACTATTTTTAACTTTGTCAGCAGAAGTAGAGCTTCTATTAAAATTTTCTGTATAAGGGCACCACCTTCTCGCCAGTTATTTTGTACAGAAATACTTTTAACTTGCATACTGAATATACAAAGGAGTCTGGGTGAAACATAGAAATCCTTGACCTCTGTAAAAACTATTATATTGTAGTTGTCTCTTCTACTTTTCTCCAACAAGTTTCTGTTTTCATTAGCTGTAAGTTTGGTACAAGTGATCATTGGAAAAAGTTAATGAATGCTTGGATTTAGCTTGTTTTAAAAAGTTATAACACTTTAAAGTTTTATTAATAAATATTGGATGTGTTTTACTGTCTAGTACAGAATTTAAGTAGATTTAGATGACTATATATATTTTGTATTAAAGAAATAATATGGTATAAAGACTCACATTAAATAGTTTAGGATCTGCGTACTTTCTCTCTTAAAAGCATGTTATATATTTGATTTATTTTTTTTTATATATAAAAATATTATATATCACAGAAGATGCAATTGTCAACTAGTATTATCTATATAGTAAGGAGTGAAAAGCCAAATGAGCTTCCTATAGATAGAGGTTTAACTTAGTTAAAAAATTATATTTGAATATTTATTAGTTCAATCTTTTTATATCAGCGAATTATATAAACGTAATCTTACGTAAGTTATTACAGACCGAAAAATTCCGCAATAATTACAATCGACGCGGAATATTACGCAATTTTTAATTACGGAATATTACGAAATATATTACACTATATTACGAAAAAAATTTC